GAGCACAGTTCATCAGATAGTGTTCCCCTGCTGTTGCAGAAGGCAGAGATGTAGTAAGCAAAGGTCAACTGCTGAAAATCTGTGTGCCTGGCTAAAAGATTATATAATAAGTTAGGCTAATTTTACTTCATTTCATATTCACATATATTAGTGCATCTTTTGTTATATACTTATCCTTATGTAAGTTACATCTGTTCTTTTATTCACTCATCCATGTTTGCTCTGCTTTCAGATTTATGAAACAGGCATTCCACTGAGCTCAGCAAATGATGGGCATAATAACTTATCTAAATTGCAAAGTATGTGATGCCCTTGAGGTAAACTCAGATGCGAAGGTTTTATGAAGTGTCTCACATGTGGAAGCATAGGAAAGTGTTTATTTGCCAACTCCCGTCTCTCCTTTGACTGTTCAAATGATGTTGAGGATCCTATGAAACTGCTATGAAAGCCTAGGGGCTAAATGGAGGAGAGAAGTAGAACTACATTATTATCTTCATAGGGGAAGCAGAGCCATACTGGCACATGCACTTATACGGCTCTCTTCTCTTTGGATATCAAAAGTTTTGGGTTGATATGCTCTAAAGGACCTATTTATTTAATGAAATGCCTCTCGCTGTAACAAGATTGTGAGGCTTTATTAATGAGTTTATTCTTATGAGATAGGAAAGTAATTGCTGTTTATTTCTTTATTTTTTCTCTTACAAGACTGCAGAGAAGCAAAGGCCCTATAGAGGAAAGGGGGAGCCTTCCTGCCATTTTATGTATCTGAGATACTCTAAACCCTTCTGCCTGTCTGTAGCTGCTAAGTCCTGCAGTGGCCATGCAGAGATCTGGTTCCTTGAGTTACTCAGGGTCAAGCTTTACCACTAGTCCCAGCATTCATGTTCACGTCAGATGTCACACCGTATATAACTATGTCAGTAAATCAGCTAGTCAATCATGGCCAGACCTGGCTATTATGGTAGTGTCCACATCTGCTTAAGACCCAGTGGCTGGACCGAGTCTTGTGGGACCAAGCTGAGTTATCAGATAAGTTCCCCTCAGTCTCTCTTGGAAGTTTCCTGTTCATTGCTGCTCAGCCTTGTGCACCAGAGGTCACTGCTTAAACCACTGGGCTAAATCAGTCTTTTAAAAATAATAAATTCAAATGTAATTTGAATTAAGAAGAGAATTTACACTTTAAAATCCAGTAAGCAAAAATACATTTCTACCTCTGTTCACTGGTGAAGAATTAAGCCTTTAAAAGAGAGGGTTTGATGCTCTTTCCCATAACGTTTCCTATTATCTACTTTAGGTGGGCTTCCCATTCATAAGGGAGACTTCAGAGAAGTCCATTTTCATGTCATGCTGACTGTGATATTTAAGTACCTTCGCGATTCAACCTATAACACAATTTAGACAGAGCCAGTTACACAAATAATAATTCCTAAACTCTAGTACAGTGCCTTGAATCCTCTGTAAGCCCAGCAGTCTGGCCATCAGCAAGTTCAGTTTGGGAATTTCTGACATCTATAAAAGGAAGGGAGGCAGTAAAAATTTTTTTAGGAATGCCCATGTTCCTGAAGTAGACTGGGACTCAGTTCCTCCGTTAATTGCTTGAAAGACCCAGGTGTGTGTCTGCCCACGTCACTGATACAAAGCTCATATTTTATCCAAGGGACTGCAAGGAAAAGTGGCAGTAAAATCCCGGAGAATAGTGTTTTTGGGAGACTGTCCTGGCTTGTTTTTTCTGCCTCCAAGGTATTCTTCAGGGATATATAAGTGAGTAAAGCCTCTGTAGGAGGATATTTCTTAACCTCCCGAAGCATTCTATGCTGTTTTAGGTCAGCTCTCCTTGGACCTGAAGAGTCCGTAGCCTGGGAATCTCAAGAAAGGCCTCGTCTGTGCAGTGATGTTATTTTCTTCAGCTACTTACGAGGTCATTTTTCATTTCTTTGTATTTAAAGTTTCCAAAACTAATTAGCCCATCTGATAAATTAGTTTGCTTAAAAACATAAATTTGTCAGTGAATTGGATGAGAAACACAGCACCCAAAACACTACACATATATTACTACTTTGTCAGCCATGTAAATTCAGAATTGCCCAGAATAATTTCAAATTAATTCAATAAGCCCTCCACTGTGACAAAAGCAAAAGTGTTTGAGTGTTAGGCTTTGTGCCCTTCTGTGTCAGATTTCAGCCTGAATGAATTTTTTATGGCTGAGTTTAGAATATAAAACTCTGAAAACAGTGGTTTGTAATGGCAATTCTGACAGACCCTTTAACCATTTGGAAAATAGGCACTGCTATAATTCTGCTGCATTAGAGAAAATTTTTGAGTGCTTTCATTAGGTGCAACAGCTGTTTCCATTGCAAAAGCCAAACTTCATTGGTGGTAGCATAGCTGTCAGCTTTCCAGAGTTTTGCGTTTATAGCTGATTGTATAAACTTCTTTATGTTCTTTTTCGCTCTCCAATATATGTAAATTAATTCAATAGCAAAAATACAAATAACTACCTTGTAACTAGATCTGTGTGAAGGTTCTTTGTAGGTTCCTACAATCAGCTTCACATGATGAGTGAACTAAGAAATACTGAACTTTTCAAACTCGTTCTAGCACAAGTGACATGCGGTAATCCTCATCACATCAATTTTTAATCATCAGATTTAATCCTCCTTCTTAGTAATGTGTTAGAGTTCTTTAACCTAGTGTAACATTCTTAATTAGAACTGATTTAAAAAAAAACCACTCCACAAACCAACAGAAAATCCAACCAAAAAAACCCCAATCTCCCTGAGTGTTTTTCTGTCTCCTCTATTTAAAGAGAATTTTTTCCCAAGAACGTGCTGAATATGTTGAAATTAAATTTTGGAAAAAAGTAAAGCATAAAAGAAATATTTGATGATGCTTTTCATTTCTTTTTTTTTCTGATATAATATAGAAAATTATTTTTGTATTATGAAACAAACCATAAGTTCCGTTTGTAACAAGAAGCCTCAAATCAAATAGTTACCTGAGTTGTCAAAAATGAAATGCAAAACTATGTTTAGAATGTAAACAAATTTTGAAGTACCAAATTTTAAAATGTCAGAGAGCAGATTTTCATGGATTCAATAAATTTTATTCCCTAATATTGAATTATGCACAGATTCATGTGGAGTAATATGGGACACCAGTCCATTTTTAAATGTTAACTTGGTTTCCATTAAGATTATACTGAAAGTAAAAGTATCCAGAGAAATATAAAGGATGTGCATACATACATATGAATACAGTGACAGAAAATACTTTGTTTTACTGAATTTACAAAGAAATATTAGCCACTGTCTGTTGAAATATGTGGGAATCTTTTTGGTACCACCAAAAAACTTTTAATAAACCTTTAATATTTAGATATGTGTGTGCTTGGTCTAACTTTCAGCCGTGATCCTTCCTCAGCAGCCTCTGAAAAGTGGTTGTTCAGAATTGTGAAAATTGGGCTCATTATTCAAGCATCTAACCGTCGATTAAAATCCTGACGTTTGGAAAAAATTTGGAAAACTCTCTTTGGTATTTAAGTCTATTGTATGAAAATGTGGAGGATAAGTTCTAGAGACATACAGCTAGTTGTAAATATATCATTGACTCTGCATTCATCTAGTTATCGATGTTTACTATATGTGGCAGGAGATTTGTATGTAATTGTATAAATATATATAATTCATATCATACGTAGAATTTGTGTTGCAAAAGATTTTCATATGATACGTAGGCAGGTGTGAGAGATTTAGAGACTATCCTGGTGCAATGTAAACGCGGTATGAATATTTATCGGTTGTTTTGCCTCACAAGCATTTGAGAGAGATGAAACCCAGTCTGTCTATAATTTTGGGCCTTTCAGTTTTGGTTAATTTCTGAAAACATTCTATACTTGGAAAATTTCATTAAGAGCCACTGATCTGACAGCTAACCAAGGCAATACTCAGACTTTCTCTCAGAGGAAATGCCTTTTGAAATTTTAATTCAAATCAATTTGAAATATGGACTCTGAAAATACCTTGACCCTCCACCCCTGTGACTTCTTTCAGACATCTCTGCCATATTTTCTTATCCTGGTTACACTGACTCAGTGCAGCCAGGGTTTGGGTTTTCAGTATATTCCCTGAGATCTGTCTGTAAACCCTAAATCCCAAAGAGCGACAATTTCGAGTCCTGCCAGTGTAGAAATTCAAGCACTCTGTTCTCCAGCCTGCCACCACAGATGCAACCCAGAGTGAGCGTGTGTCTGCCTGGGATCTGATGGAGCTGTAAGACATAGGGGAAGCCAATGCTTTGAACCATTAGTAGCATTTTCCCTTCCTGGTGATGCGTTGCTATCCTTTTCCTCAGAAGTGGCTGAATGTTGATGGTGTTGAATGCCCAGAGCTGTGATTTGCTCTGGTTTGAAAGACTTTGTAAAAATGTAAGATACTCCTATTATATCCCAGCCTGACCTATTATTCATTACATTGGGTCAGATTCAACTGTACAGAGAAACAATACAAGACACTCTGAATTTCACAAATCCTTTAAGAATTAAATTGACCGGTTGCTGTGCAGAGTCTCCAGAAAGGCATTTACATGTCTTTTACATCTCACATCACCAAAGCCTTATCTGAGCTCCACTAAGGGAGCTAATTTGTTGGACTGAATTTTATTCCCTAACAACACCCCTCCTTCCTCCCTAATTAGCACACTACCCCATATAATAAAGATGGAAGAGAAGTGTAATTACCAGCCAAAAATAAGCTATACAGGGTTGTGTTTTTTTTTAACTGGATAACCAAATGAGAATATTAACATGGGCAAAGATCAACCATAGGAGCTAAAGCAAATAATAAATGTGTATTTATGGCTGAGCAATACCTGAGTTCAAGGCGCCCAGTCAGGTTTCAAATGGCACCTACTTTCTTTTCTACCTTTTGAACAGATATGACTCAGGTGGACATGTACTCCCCAAGGAACAATATACTCTCCTGCCCTTTGCTGCAGGTTTTTACCTTCTGAATTTTATTCCACACACGTCCTTTATCACTACTTCTTCCGTCAAGGGTGTCCATGGCATCTGCCATTAGCGACTGCAGCTGTGGCACCAAGATAAAAATTATCAGTGTGGAATTCACACAGAAATAACTTCTCTAAATACACAGATTAAAACCTAATTAAAAAATCATTTGTACGCTGATGATTTTATTACTCATCTTTCACACAATGAGCACTGCCACCTCATCTTTGCTTCAGCCATTACACTGTATTATTGTGGATATAAAATACTTAACAATGGGAAAAAATCCTCCGGAAAATTTGTATTTAAGCCTATACGTTTTAATGCAGTAAATGTTTATACTTAGTAAAGGAAGACTTGGGCTGTAAAGAATAAAGGCTTCATATTTCATTCTTTAGCTGTCTGGGATATTCTGTGTCGTACATGAATGCTTTTTAGTATTTTCTCCCAAGGCTAATGTATCATAATTTAAGGAAGCATGTAAAACCTCACAAGAGGACAACACTAAAGCTGAGATGCTTTTACTGTAGCTGGCAGTATCTAGCTCATTTTCCCTGCTTTTACTATCCTTTTTCTTTGGCAAACCCTCCCTTCTCCCCATCATTCAGCATAACAGAGCATAAAAATAAGGCTGACAATTTCTAGTGTAAACTATAAAGAGAAGCTGTAGGAAAATACTTGCTAATCAGTCCTTAGTGTTAGAGGGAAGGCTAAAATTCAGGTTACTTGTAGTATTGCCGCACTCCAGTACCCTTCCAGGTTAGTCATAGCATTTCCTCACCCTGTACCCTTCCCAAGCACTTGAAAATATTTCAGTTGCTCTTAATATGGTAACAGAGAGACAAGAGTTGGATCCAGGGTGTCTTCCCATGAGCAGCTTTTAGCATCAGTGTTTAGAAATAAATTGGGAGAAACTTGTATTTAATACCCACGATATTGCTGTGCTCTATTAGGTTTATTCCAAAATGTTTAGTTGGTTAAAGTGAACGCAAACAATAGTTTTTGGTGTCTCTTGCAAATTTGTTACTCACTGCAAGTAACTGGACAGGACAAGGTAAGCATTCATAGAGAAATCGTCTCTTCTTTCTATACCTAGATGGGCAGCAGTGTGAGTACATAAGGTGATGAAACTTAAAACATCAGTGTTTAGGCTCACCTGCACAAGATATAAAAATCCTGCCTTGAGGTTCAAGGAGCAGATCTGTTTTTCCTCATGTTTATTTTTGCATTCAGGTATTTGAAGTTAAAATCCTTTATCTTTGTCCCAACACTGCATAAAGGATGCAGGAATCTTCTTTGGAATCTCTAAATAAATTTGCTATGATTGGTTCCAGCCTGCTTTCTCTGTGCTTGTGCAGCCATTAAATTGAAACTTGGCCCAAACATTTCATGAAGACTTATTTTTTTTTTACATCATATGTCAGTACTGATGAAAAACAAAACTGCAAATTTCTGCTTCTGACTTTAACGTGAAAAGAGTCAAGAACCTGTCAGAAATTTTCCGTCACAATACTTTTATGAGAGATAATCTCCTTCTATGAATCCAGAATAGACAGAGCCCAGAGATTAAGGGTATTAAGGGCAGAATAGGCAATGCACAGATCCTACGTCAAACCAGGCAGAGGAGGAACTGGTCAGGGGAAGGGGAGGATTTCTCCATTGCTTTTCTTGGAGTGATTCTGTCTGAAGGACTAGTCAAACAGCACCCGCTGGGACTGGGACTGGGACGGTGGTCTGTCACCCCTAAGGGGCCACCTGTGACAAAGCAAACAGGCTGGAGGTTTCACTGCTTTGCGTAAAAAGTTAAAACAAGAAACTATTCCAATTAAAATTGCACTGATACTGATACATGACAGTGAAAAGTGCCCAGCAGGTGCTCTGGTTTTAATTTTTATCAACCAAAGTTTTTCATCAGCTCTGTTGGCAGGTAAAATGTGCATGCTACAAGAGTGGGCAGTTGGCAAACCACAGTAATTCTCCCAAAGCTCATCTTTTTTGGAAAATCCCGTCCAAGGAAAAATGCTGCATTTTTAAAAATATCTTGTCCTCATTTGAATTTAAACCGAAATAGTTTTCTTCTTTTTAAACAAGATTACATCTTGATTTATGATGTACAAATACGGTGACATTAAAATCATAAACCTTGGAAAGATTTTCTTCAGGGTTTTTCTCCACTTATGTTAAACTGTTCAGGCTAACTGAAATCTTTATTTTCCTGGGGTCTATGAATAAATACTGATCTAAAAAAGCCTCAGTTAAGGTTCTCTGTGCCATAGATTAGAACTCTATTTATTTAGTCACAGGAAGACATTTACATAGAAGAGTTTATAACTGAAATGCCTTTGGGATCCTTGCTATATCAGTGCAAATTGCACTATTATAAATTCAGTGTGCTTTAAACTTTATACAACTTATACTGTACGTGATAATAAGCATTTGGCATCTTTAGCATTTTCTAACTCACTCAATTTAACTGCCTTGCTTGGTCATAAAGCCTTATCTTAGTTTTACCAATGTAAAGTCAGAATGACCTCAGAGGAATTACTTTAAATTTTTATTAGTACAAGTGAGATTAGAATTTGTCCAGCTCAGTTTTCTTCATGGAAAAAATCAGCTATCTCTTAAAAATGTTGCAGAAAAGTGAGAAGCACATGGAGTCAGTATGGGTGCTGTGATTCTGACCCCATGGACGTGGCGGGGCCCGCCTCTGTAGCATCCACTGAAAGCCACCGAATCATACCTGTACAGCCCAGTCCTGCAAATTTTTCATCCTGCCTGGACCCCAGTGAAATGAGGAGGAGGACAGGGATGCTCAGCAAGCGAGGATCTTTTCCTTGCTCCCTGGATGGTTTGGGTTTGCAGACCCAACGATGGGCTGCAAAGTTTTGTGCTTGATGTGTTTGCAATGTGGTAGGGAAACGGTCCCTACTGGCATAAGAGGAGCCTGTGCCATGTGGGCTGGTGCCACCAGGAAAGGTAAAGCCCATTAATCACTCCCTGGTGAAGTCACTCTGTAAGTTCTTACTTGCAGTCATGTGCCTTAACACTGTGGTGCCTGAAGTTTGCTAAAATATTCTAGCTACAAAGCATCTGAGCCTCCATTTACACGCACAGACTAAAGATATATATTACAGCAGAATGACAGGACAAAGGAAAATAAATGAATGCTGAATTAATACATTTTAATGCTCTGGACAGGGTAGCTGGTAGAGATTTTCTGCCTTTATTGTTTTAAAAAACATTTTTACCTTGGGGTCAGTAAACAAAGCATATGTGTTTCGTTGAAAGATTTACAGCCTGTCACTTAAATCTCCCAGCATAGATCCTTGTTTTGCCCAGTCGTACCCTTATGAGACTGAAGACCTTTGTCCTGGGTGGCCTAGAGCCTCCCCCAAAAGCTTTTCAGGGATATTAGGTTTATGATTACTACATGACAAGATACAGTCAACAGTGTAATAGCCTGTGCCTAACGTGTGATGTACTGAAAATATTGGACCCTGGAGAAAAATCTATCACTGAAGTATCTACCAATAACTCCAGACCCTTTAGTCAGCCTTGAAATGTGGGCCTGATGAAGTTTAATACTAGAAAACTTGCATCAAAAAGAGAATGTCTTTTAATAACACAGTTTCTTTGCAATGTCGTTTTCCCCTTATCTCGAGCCCAGACTTCAAAGTTTGGCAACCACCTCCTGCAGTTGCAGGCCACTGCTTGTCTTCCCTAAAGCAAGCTGCTGTGAAGCTTTCATTCTACAGAGCTTAGGAGCTTTGCAGGACTGCAAACAAATGTCAAGGGACTGGCTCTGGGAAAACCAAGAGCTTTTAGTGAACTGAAGTTGGATCATCAAAATTGGACTGCATTTAAATGCAGGGACTGTGGAGAGACTATTCTTTCTTTTTCTTTTTTTTTTTTTTTTTTTTTTTTTTGGCTAGAATGAAATGCTTAAAATTTTCATGTACGTGAGCTTCCTCCATTCCCCATCAGAAAACCTGACAGCCTCGTGGAAGAATAACCATACGGTACTTTCTGATTGCAGTTTATTGACATACTATCAAGCTATTAATGACTCCTGTCTTGCAACAGCCCTGCTAGCATCACTGCCCTTATTTTACAAAGGGAAAACAAAAGCACAGCAGGCAGACAGGTTTATTCAGGCTTTATTCAGAGATGAGGAGCAAGTTGTAGATGGAGCCAGGAAAGAAAATCTTTTCTCTCTTTTCCCCCCCTCTCCTCAGCTTTAACTAGATTTGGCCTGTTTTGCTGCAGGTGGCTTCTGATGTTAGATATCTTAAAGTAGCATGATCTGAATAATTGCAATCATTTTCCCAGACTGATCTGGGGAGGTTTGGGGGAAAAGAAGATGTTTTAAAAATATGCCTACAGATGAGTCATGCTGGTTCTATAAAAGTCATCCTTGCAGGTGATTAGCACCTCCTCTGACAAGGCACTGCAGTAGGATTTTAAAACTACTTCAGGTCCGCACATTCGAAAAATTACTTCCAGAGCAAATTGCAGTGCAGTGCTCTGCCCCAGCCCTTCCCTCCCTGGCTCCCTGCCTCTAAAGGCCAAAACAAGTATTAGAAATAAATACTTACCAGTTCGGCATCCTGCTGACTGATGTCTTGCAGGTAGGGAATGGTTGCTAGCTCAGCCATCGCTTGATTAATCACTTGGGACTGTTCCTCGACTCTCTGCAAACGGCCGAGTAGGCTGGCGTAATGCAACTTCTCTATCCCACGTGAACACGCGCAGTGATTGTCCTGTTTTCTCAGCAAAAGCGAGTAGGTTAGAAGAGAGTCACAGAAAACACACTTATCCTTTGAGTCCTATGCCTTGAGGCTTATCATATATATTTGTGCTGGTAATACTATAAGCAATATGGCATCCGGCACCTTTAAGATAATGCTGCTGACAATCTTTATAGAGGAAATAAAAAAGACTTTCTTGCCACAATCTCTCTAGTAGTACTAGATAAATAAATCTGTAGTCATAATATATGTGAAGGGGAGACAGCAGATAAACATAAATGCAGTTTTCTCATTTGGAAATGGCTTTTCCATAATCCTCTCTGTTAAGTATTACCTGACGTTTATGGATTGCTTTTAAAGTTTCAGTGAAGAGGTTGAGGAAACTGTGCAGTGTGTCAGCTTAAGGTTTGTTTGCAGACTAGGCAAATCCATAGTTTTCAAATATATAATCCTGAGGGACTAAAACCTGCAGAGGTGGTCTCTGATCCTCCAGGCAGCTAGGCACATGGTAAATTTTAAGCATGTGAATATAGGAACTCAGCCAAGTGCTTGCATAAAATCTCAGCACCTGCTGAAGTGTTTGATGGATGGCAGCCTTACCACCATATTTTCAAAAGTATTCTGATGCCAAAAATGCAAATAAGCACCCTAGTGAGATTTTCAGAAGCAATTTGGCCTAGATTCCTGACAAGATGTAGCCATTGCATATCTGAATGCTCAGCCCATCAGAGTGAAATTTCCATTCATCTAATCAGGGTTTTGAATGTATTTCAGTGTCTGAAATTCCAAGAATTGGCATCAATTTTCAAAACCACTTCCAGTATTTTTAGCAGACTTTTGTTCTGGCAGTTACATATGGTGGCGTGTTGATGCTGCCATTTACGTACACTTTCAGGTAGGTGATTTCAGGTCCAATTATATATTGAACAGGGTGAAGAGAAAGTTTTGAATGACATTGTTTTTTAAATAAATGGTGTCCCATTTTTAAAATTATCTTCTCTTGGCAAAGAATCTTTATCATTTAGTTTAATCTTGATCTTGGTTTCGCAGAAATTTTCACTAGGCAAGCACCTAGTGTTATCAAAATTGCTATCAACGTAGTTCTTGTATCAAGACCAAGAATTTAATAACAATGCTGTTCTTGCTTTCTATACATCTTGCAAGAATAATAACAGAAAAAAGCTTAGTTTTCTTTTAACTCTAGAAAAATATAAATACCCCTTTTAATATAATTGTAAAATAGTATGAAATAAAACATCATGCACTGGAGACCAATGGCAGGAATGAAGCTATAATCTAGGAGCTCCAGATATGAAAGCAAATGAAAAAGAAAGAGCTGAGCCAATGAACTGGTATTTCCATTAGCTGAAGGAGAGAATCAAGCACTGCACAGGGAAAAGGAGCTCTGGTCAGCAGTTCTCTGGAGTATTGCAGATAGCTCCAGTCAGCTGTGTTTGGAGAGGTTAATTTAAACCCAAGCATCATGGAGCAGAGAAGCCAGCATGGTAGGAGATACCTCTTTTGAGAGAAGTGCGGTTTGATTAGTCTATTAATGAAAATGCCAAAAGCTTTTTCTTCTTCTCAATAAACATAATGCAGGGCTAAATTCCAAAGAGAACAAACAACTGAAAAGGGAAGGAGAAAGAAAAGACAATGATAACAGAAGGACCATTGCATATAAATAGGTACAAATAAGACTGAGGTGGCAATTAAGCTTCTTATAATTCAGGCTGAAGGTCTGCAATCTGTTTTGCCTAGAGTAGAAAAGGCAGAAAGCCTAGCTGGTGAAGAAGCGCCGCTGTAGCTCCTTCCCCCGCTATCAAAACCCCAACACACACAAACTCAGCATACTAGTTCTAAGGTGGATTTTACTCAATTTATGAATAGGGTATTAGGTGTCACAAAGGTGTATAATGGCAGGTGATTTGACTTGAGAAGCCAGCAGAGCCCTTCCAGGCCTGTCTTCTCATGAACTTCTGTTGACCCACCTCTAAGAAGGGAGACCAGGACAAGCTTCTTACAAATTACTCTTATCACTTGAAGAGTCCTTTTCTGAGGACCTGACCTAGTATTAGTATGAGACATCATCAGGAAAAAACATTCTATGATCTCTGATATGTGAAACCGTAAGTGTGATGCAGTCTAGTTAGCATGCACTAAGGCAAGGAACAAAATGGAACCTCATCTCTACCTGATCTCCCATGTTCAAAAGCCAGATAGCTGTGTCCCCAAGTAGAGCTGTGTGCATTAAAATACGGAGAAACAATCGGTTAATGAAAGAGAAAGAGGGCTCTTATCAACATGAAGTATTGTCACAACACTTTAGATGCAACAAAAGGTTTTTTCCTGCTATTCTTGAAATCCGCCCAAAACCTTTTTGTGTAAGCACTAAGAAATGGGTATATTGAGTCATCAGCTAAGAAAGCAGGTAAAAATCCTCTCTCATTATCCTGTGTCTGTTGGGGGCTTCTTGAACAATTAAGAAAGTAAAGGCAAAAAGAAAACAATTTTTTCCCTGCTTGACTCTTCGGAAAAATATGAGACCATGCCATGTAGCTATGGGAAACAAATTGGGCATCTGTGCCAACATGCACTCTGTGGACATAGAAATGCTATTTAAGTTTATAGTAGGTTGGAAGTAAATAAATAAATAACCGACAGCAGGGGTTTTTTTGAAGGGATTAGAGGAGGTTGAACATTGTCGGAGGTGGTGTTTCAGTGACAATGAAAAATGCAGAAAGAGAAAGTAAATAACTGCTGCTGGCAGGAGAAAAAATTCCACGGGGAGCTGAACCACATGATGAGAATTACATGAACTAAAGCAGAATTCAAGGGGCTTCTAAGCTGCAGTAAAAAACATAATAAAGTGACCAAGCAATCAGATAAAGATGAAACCAGCTCAGGTTGGTACAGTGAAGGTTAAGTAAAGAGCAAACATAAATGGAGACTTCAGTGATAAAGGGTTGGCTCCTTTAATAGAGAAGAGATACATATTTGAGGAATCAGGTAGCAAAGGAACCAACAAATGCGGTGTATATGGAGTCACAGTGGCATCCCGGTCAGAAATGCAGTAACGTAATGAGACAATAAACTATTAAATTATGACGCTGTTACTTTCTGAATGGGCCTCACCCTTATTGTCTGGTATTCTAAGGAGGAAATTTTAAAGAAAAACGTAAAAACAAGCAATTGATGGACTTTTTCCTGACGACCTAATTCATAATGGGTAGCCTCATCTGAGGTGGGGGACCTTCCAAGATAGAGCCTTCCCCAGAAAACTTTTGCTGCACAAATGCCCTTTAAACTAAAAAAAAAAAAAAAAAAAAAAAAGAACTAGAGGGGTGTTTATCCCCAGAGGTATCTTTAAGACCTTACTCCTAGGAGAGAAATAAGGTCCTGATACCAGAGGATCAGACCTGTGGCATCCTTATTCCTCTGATCTTGGGATGAAAAAGCACTACAAAAAGCAGATCAGCCTGTTCTGGATGGAGCTTACCTGCCATTGCTAAATACCCAGCACTAACAACGAGAGCAAAGATAGGACAGGCTTTCATTGTAAAAAGGAGCTGGAGAGCATGTGAGAGGAGTGAATCATGTGTTCTCTCACATATTGAGAATTTTGGGATGATATCCCCACTTTTTGCTTTTCTCTATAGTCAGGAAAGGAGTCATCCCTTATGCCACTTCTATTTATAAATAAACTTTAATTGCTGTGATAAAGAAAAAGAAAAGAAAAGTGATTGGTCAACCTGGATTTAAAGCAGGATCTGTCATATCCAATACATGTGGCATGTTTAACTATCAGCTTTAAGAGCACCACTTTGCAAAAGTATGCAGTGCCCCCCAGTCGTTCTTTTCTATTGCAAAGTCTTTACCACAATTTTTCAGCTCAAAATCTGAATGAAGTTATGCTTTGTGAGCAGCTCTGTAGTGCATTGCAATAACAAGTGGAAAAAATCCATCATAATGTTTCTTTAATGCCCTTGGTATCCTCCAGAAAATGCGTATGCTGAAATCTGTGTGTAGTAAATGCTTTCTCTCTACTTAAAAAATAGACAACAAAACAGTGAGATCTGTAAATGTACACATCATGTTGTGAATCATATGGTAACTTTTGTTCACCTTTATAATATGAGCAGTCTAATAAACCCCTCTGGCCACTGTTTCTCCTGTTAAGTAGCATCATCTGCCATTGACATGGGAATACATCAGGAAAAAGGCAAATCTGATGTGTACAAAGCAGCAGAAATTACCCCAGTGAAATCACTTGATAGAATAAACACTTGACAGTGCTTGTAATCTGGATGGGAATATGAGTAGTTGAAGGTCTGAGTGATACATATTTTTAAAGCAAATAGAATAGCCTTTGTGTCATGGTATGTATTTCAGAGTAGATGAGATTTATGGCATTTCCCCACCAGCAGCAGATGATGCTGTGTGGGGACCAGACTGCGACATTCTTTCTCAAATGTTTCTTGTTTTACAATATCCAAATGTCCCCTTGATTTAAATTGGACTGGCTGTTCTTTATGAAGAAGTGGGGCCAACAGAAAATGTTCTGCTTTTTTAACCTTTAACTTCACGTCTTACCAACAGTGGTGTGTATAAATCATATAATTAACTCTAAGTTGTGTAGCTGCAAAACTGAGGTGTCAGAACTGACTTATATTAAGTGTTGCTATGCCTTAATAAGCTCTGCTTTAGCACCGAGATGTTTTTGTCAAAAAAAATCTGATTAGGATAAGCATTTTGAATTGTATGTTTGCATCTGCAAATGAAGAAGAGGGCAAAAAAGAACATTTGTTCTATTAAAAAACAAATATATTCTTTTATCTTCTTAAAGTAAATTATAAAGATAGAGTCTGTATCAGCAGTTTGTCTTGTAGAATTTTTTAATTTAGTTTGTGTGCGATGGAAATATGATGGAATCTTATTTCTAGCCTGAAGAAAATTTTGGAATACTTTCAAGGAAGCAAAAGTGGCCAAATCTCTGCCAGGCCCATAAAGAGATTTTAATCACCAGTAGCAAAGCAGTTCTGGCTCTGTGCCTATTTGTATTATCAGGTATAACTGGCTTCGCCATTTGCTCTTTGGGTCAGAGGTTCTGTCTTGCTTGGATCATTCAATGATATGAAAAGTGTAGGGAAAGTGAATATGTTTCTACCGATAAAGGACGTGGAATTGGCAGCTGTTTGTTCTAACTCTGTGATAATTTCTTCTATTTTGGGACTTTCCTCCTGTCCACGAAAGCTCCCATGCTGACTCCCTGGTGGCTGGTTATCAATCTATAGGACCATAGTTCAGACCTGTTCTCCCATTCTTGCTGCTGCTGGAGGTGGCAACGGGGTAGACCTTGCCTGAACCATGAGGATGCTGTGCTGACCTCCTTGAAAAAAAGGCAAGTTTGTTGCTGGCTTCAGTGGTGCTGGGATTTCACTCTGTATTTTTGGGAGCCCTCTTCTTTTTCAGCAAGAATATTTAAATGTATGAGGTGAGGTCTAGAGATGGTAGAAAATATTACTGTGTAGGAACAGTATGAATTCATACAGATAGTGGGGACTGGCTTGAGCAATCCTAACATACCACTCTGCTCTCATCTCTTACATGATGAGCCTGTTTACTTCTTCCTGTACCCTGGATACCAGATACCATGTACCTCTGCTTGAACTGTGTGGCTCTGTTCCTCCAAATTAATTTACAGACTAGGGTAGTTATGGAGAATCCAAAAGATACCCGATTTCAAAGTTTTTCTCTTCCTGATACTCTTTAGAGACTCAATAACTGCAGTAGAGGAATGTCACCTCTAAAAGCTGTATGTTATACCCAAAGAAAGAATTGCAATGTCATAAAAAAAGTTTAAAAATTGGTGTTTTACTGGGGCTTTTAGAAAGACCAGGGTTTTATTCTGCCTCCAGTAGCCAACCCACTGTCTGCTTATACTTCTAGCTTCTTAAATGCTCAGAGTGTAATGCACACAGCAATAACAGATATTTCACTTTCCCAAAGATGCCACTTCTATTAGCCTGCACATCAATAACTTGGGCTTTTGGTCATCCGAAGCCAATAGCACATGGCTTCAGGAAAGAACTGGAAAGAAGCAGCTGTGAGTTTCCTTGGGGATGTCTGCCCTCAGCTTGCTCCATCTGTTTCACACCAGTGCAGATGCTTTATGAGCGCCCATTTTGGCGAAGTGCTAAGCACCTTTACCTCCCACTAAGCATGTGAGTTCAAGCACTCACTGTTGTTTCAGCTGCTGTTTTCTGAGAGTAAAGGAGATATAGCTTCCCCAAATATCTAGCTAATGTTTCTTCCTTGCTAGGGGTTGCTAAGTAGCAGTTTTTGTCAACCTCCTATCTGGTATCAAAACCTAAGAATATAAATCCTGTGATTTGCTAAGACACCCCTGACGAGGAAATGGCTCTGATTCCTTCAACATACAGAAAACTAAAAAACTGCTATCTCTAGGGAAAAAGCGTTAACATTAGCATTTACAATCTGGGGAGGAGAGGCTTCTTCCACTTATTTTCAGGAGAATAATTTAAGAATTGCATTAAAACAGTCTAGTCTACATGCAAATTTGATTTTTGACCTTTTGTGCTAATCAAAAGCCACAGTGCTAAAAAGCTGTGTACATTATTGCAGAAAGTATGGAGCAGAATTAACTAATATACCTTCAATATGGTTGTAACAGATTTGAAGGTTATTTCACATACTTCACTACATGGGGATCGGGATCTAAATCACTAGAAATGCTTCAAGTAGCAATTATTAACTCTTGATGGAGATCCTGGTGATATGTGTCGTATACTATGGGTATTAAATATAGCGAGTAGTTTCGGTGGTTATGCAAAGACGGGATAGAACATAAGAGGCCATAAAGATTTGAGAAAATTGCATGCAAAGTGATTTTAAATGAACTGGGTACACTGTTAAGCGATTAGGTCTACTTTTTAAAAGTAACTAAACCCCATTTGAACTCTGCTCCTAACATTGAGCATTTCTGGACAAAGGAGGAGCATCTGCAGAATGAACTACCTACCAAAAAGCACACATCAATCACACACACCCAGGCTACTGCTGCCATACACACTAGGCACCAGAAAGTGCATTTTATACTCACGGTTAGTTTGGTGCTTCTTATAAAATCCATTACTGGCAGGATCTTTTTCCCAGTGTTGTTCCAGTATGTTTTTGTTTCTTCTTTCGTAAGAGGTCTGAAAGGTGCTTTCCGACCTAGGAAAGGACATCACAAATCCATATACTGTGTTTGTTCATATACATTTTCCATAGAAGATCTAGTAAGATGACAGGTAAACTGAAGGAGGAGAGAGAATGATGGGGAGAGCTGTCTGGACAGTCAGGGCTGCCAGCACAGAGAAATGGGTCCTGAGAAACCCCTTGACCCCCCTCATTTGCCAAGGATCATGGAGGTTAACCCTGAGCTATCCCTGCTGTTAGGCAAGTTGGTGTACCTGAAAAGATTGGCAGTCTTCTAGTTGACAGCCTTTCCAAGATTTTCCCAATACGTTTGTTTCTGAAACCCAGAGTCAGTGAGTACTTCTGGGGAGGCAGAGATGGCCACTCAGCCGTCTGTGGCAAGATGTGAAGTCCATGAGGTTCTGGAATAGATAAATTAAAATAATTTCCACTGTCACGTTTATTTTCAGTTATAAGAGAATTACCTTTTTGAGGAAAAAAATTGAAGTCTAAGGAGGAGTGAAATACAATCCAGAAAACTTGCCAAAACAAAGGTGGCTAAACCAATCCAGCCAGCTATGTCTGGGTTTTGAAATTACAGACTTTGCAACCTTTTGCATCAATACCTTAGATTTTTCTGATGCATAAGATAAACATGTTCTTTCCATTTATGCACTTTTTAATGCTGATCATTCAAAGCATTAATAACTCAACACTTCGGTAATGTAACATCCTGATCTTTTAGCTGCCAAAGAAGCTGTTTTGTTCCCTGAATTAGTGAGGTTTGATTTCCTACAGATTTGTGCTTTTACGATCACCACCACCATAATCCCAGGTTTCCTGCATGTTCTTTCTGATCCACCCAGCTGGCATGTGGCAGCCCGTGCTGTGGCTTGTCCAGAGTTTGTGACTGCTGCTGCCAAAATACTTGTGTATCCGCTGAGCTGGTCTGCCCTGATCATGGTGGGGACAGATGCTCAGAGCAATTGTATAAACCACCTTTGCTTAGGGAACCAGACCAGTTCTTTCTTTCCTCCCCTTCCCCTGCAAAAAATAAACCTAGATTGAATGTCAGTGTCACTTTTCACAAAGTAGTGCTCTGTTTTCAGTGAGCTCTGCTTTTAAGATGCCAGGCTCTGCGATCACAGTGACAAATGGAGAACCCCACTCAGAGCTCTCTGGACTTACCCCTCTATAAATCAAAGCGAGTGGACCTGATATTTCCCTTGCAGCATATTCTGCTTCTGAAGGATTCTCAATTTTTCAACAAATTGCATTGTATACTTGGATTTAAATGTGTATCTGCTTCTTTTCCTTGGCAATACGGAAACTTTGAAATGAGCTCAGTCCTTACAACTCCAGCAGAACTTAGATAAAAATGGACGGATGATTGTTACAGTATAGGAAGGTTATTGAAAATAACATGTTTGTGAGACAACTGGTATTTCACACCCACTGTCAAAATGAGGCTTAGCTCAAGTTTTTAATTTCACCTATGTGAGATACAGACCTGCAGGTTGAATGCTCAGTGGTACCACACCGACAATGAACTAAACTTGTTTCTTGTGAATTTTTTTTTTGGTGGGCAGTATGATTTTAGGTCAGATCTGAATAGATAAGTTGAGTAACAACTACTGCTTCAGTTGACTTCACCTAACACTGTTGTGAGTTATCTCAGCACCAAGTCTAGGAAAAGGAGCTGTCTCACAGGGTTTCCAGGACAGAAAGGAGAGAGGTTGGGAGAGGTCCTGCCTGTGTGAGGCCTCTCACACCACTGCATTCTCAAACCCCTGATACCCATATTGTTTTTTTTCTGGCTATCTACTTCATTTAATGCCTAGAAACTTCCATGATCCCAGAACCTGCACTCACAGAAACTTGTGTAAAATTGAAGCAATTCTTTTAACTGATAGATTTTTGTAAACAAACATATTTGAAGGCAGAACTGGTTCTATGTAATCTGTTTTATAATTGACCAAGGCACTATAGTACAGGGATCTTTTACCCTCCTTTTTTTTTTTTTTTTTTTTCCTTCTTACTTTTCCTTATTGGGGGGAGTAAGAAATAGACTGGTGACACTTTCAGAGTCATTCAGTGATTTATGAACACTAACTGAGTTTTGGTGCAACACTTGCACACTTTTGCTGCTTCTGTGCTCCTGAAAGTCTCACCCTTGCTGTAAATTGAGGGGGTTATGTGAAATATGAATGTATCTTATCCAAAATCAGATTTTGGGAGTTTTATTTTATTCTCCTTTTAATGCTGATACTTTTGCCCGAGGAAATTCTCAACAAAGTCACATCAGCAATTAAACGGTAGACAGGGGTTTTACAGCCTCCATGATAGATAAGTCCTTATTTTCCCTCTTTGAACAACCCCAAAGCTTATGTCAGAAATCCAGTATGTGGGTGGTCTGCAGCTTGCAAAACACAATCTAGTTTTATACTGGTTTCCTAAGCAAAACAAAAATGAACAGAACAAGTTGACTTTTGTTAAATATTTGCATAGTTTTGTGGTAAACACTTGGTTTCCTAATTTCTATTTGTGTTTTTGAAATAGATTTTCTCTTCCTCCTGAAGGACACAGTGGGTCTCCTTTTGGCAGCTTTATTTATCTGCAAGGTGCTGGAGCTCAGCGGTGGTGGGAGGACTAAGATATCATCTCTGACCGGGTGTAACTGGTGGGGAGAGGTCAGCACTTGGGCCTTTTGGACCACCCTGCTGGAAGCAGCAGGGAGGGGTGAGCTACACAGCTAGTTTGTGTGACGAAGATAGAGGCTTTCCAGAATTTGACTTGGGAAATTTAATTTTCCCTTTATGTTTCTCAATCACCAACTCAAAGCCAAGTGCTATCAGGGTCAGCTACGTTCCAAGTCACCAGGTTAATGATAGTAAGAAATGCCTTTTAACCCCTTGCCTCTCTTTTGCTGAAATGTTATGCTCATTCCTCTTGAAATAAGTCTGTGGTCACCAGAATTTAAGCATATGTATTGTGGTTTGAGCTCAGAGGTCAACTGAGCACCATACCACTCACTCAAACCAGGACAATCTGTTCACTCCAGGGATGCTATTTGAGTTCACTCTGCCAAATGGCAATAGGCTCTGCAAAGCCCTTGTCCACTCTGGATGCTACTTTTCTTCAACAGGTTAGAGAAAACCTGGCTATATATTCCCATCCTTGCAGCTGAGATGTTCTCAAAGGTGGTGGTCAGTCCATTAGTGCTTGTAGAAGGGAGGATATTTTTGGAAAGCGAAGGCTCTGCTGCAGGGATGACCATTGGTGACCTATGGAAATTCATGGAGATGGGAATGAACTTGGGTCTTGCCGTCACCACAATACACTGCAAATCCACCTTTGAACAAAAGATTAGTTACAATAATGAAATTCAACAATGGAAACATGGGGCTTCATGGATAAAAAACTCCTTTATAGGGATTTGCAGTGTAAAGTCTGTACTTTGCCTAAGTATGGATTTAATTACCCATATCATGTAAAATCATAGATCAAAGCTCAGAAGTTTATTTTCCACGCCAGAAGTGTAGAAGTGTCTGGAGCTCAAGCTCCAGACTCCTTCAAACTCTTTTTAAGTCAGCCACACACATACAAACAGTACTCATGCTCTTAAGCACTGTAAAATCTGGTGTTACCTGTATATATGTGTTCCACGTAATCAGGGTGCATTTTAGCAAACACGTCCTTTAGCTTGTTTCTTTTGTCAGCCCTGACTTCTGTCACAAATGGTGTGTACATAACTGAAAAAGATACTTCTCTAGTGATGGCTTCTTCAATCATAGCCTAAAAAAGGCAAAGAAATTATACATTTCATGTCAGTTAACAGCTAGCTAAAAAAAAAAAAAATTACTTTCTCAGATTATAGTTTCCCTTTAATAATTGCACAGTCATGCAAAGATAACATATTTTGGTCTTGAATATTAATTAGAGGGGAATTTAAATTATTTCCAGAAAACACTGTCTATCTATACTCAGAAAATCAATTTAATGGAGAAAGAACATTTGTAAACAGTTTTCAGTGCAGTGAGCCTAAATCTTCAATGAGGAGAAAAGCATTAGATAAATTATCTTTTAGATGAAAAGAAAAAGTGATTCCGTGTTCTCTGAAGGTCACATCTTTCATCTGAGGGTTTTATTCAGTCCTTGGGAGCTGGTTAAACAATACTAAGCATTCATATTACCCCTTGGGTTGGCATGAATCAGACACTGTGCCTATACGGAATATTAGTCTTAAAATATTACATTTAAACACCATTTGCATTAAGAGTAAAATTCACTCCTGTGCAGAGGGCAACACAAAGCTTATGAACCTTGTCATCCCTTGAAAATGACTCATATGATGCATTGTGCTGGTCTTATGCAGAGAGGTGGATTTCACACTTGGTGGACCCCAATGAACTGGTTGGTGCTGGAACTGCCAGGAGGAGCTACCAGCCTGGAAAGAGCCTTGCTTGGTACTCTTGTCGGTCAGGGAGGCAGGGAGGTTGAACTGCAGGTCCTCCTGGGTTGGGGTTTGGGTAAGACCATGCTCAGTATTGCTTCAGTTGCATTTGTTGCTAACAAAGATTTTGTCTCCTTGATGTGGGCAGTCCTTTCTGGAAACTGGGGGAACTGCAAGACTTCATTAATGTATCCTGGCAAAAAGTGTAAGCAGGGTTGGTAGCGACAATACTAACACAAAGTTAATAGAGATGGTCAGAAAAGCACGAGAGGAAAGGATATATATTTTTAACAGGGTGTATGAATCTCCCAGATCACCTTATACACTGAAGTGATTCACAGAAGGTATCATTATGGGAACAGCTTGGCATTTTATTAACATGTCCTCACTTCTGTTCTCCAGTCTATCCTCCACCTATGTAAAATTATTCAAGACATAGTGTGCCTCCATGAGTCATTTGTTTAGCTGACGACTGCTCCTACCAACCTAGAATGGAAGGCTGAGAGTGCCAATTAGTTAAGTATCTATGTCCTTTTCTTTAATGGCTTTAGACAACAGGTCCTCTGATATAGTCTTATGTCAGTTTATTTCCATCCTGTTTATTGGTATGGGGTGTGCAGAAATACCATAGAAATGCTATAATTGTTTTGAGCAGATATTGGGATAGGCTGCCATATGTGCACCCTGAGTGCTCTTACACTGGATATTCTGCCTGGATGTTGAGGGTATCACAGGGAATTTGTTTATGTTTTAGATTACTATATTTAGTCAGCCCATTATCCTGAGTTTACTGGAATGGAAGCAGTCTGGACTGGCCAGTATTTAGCCCTGGAAAATTAACAAGCTTCAAATGTGTGTAATAGTATCATGACCACCTGGGGCAGTAATAACTTTCCTCCCCAGTGAGGAGTTCCAGCTTTCCACAGGCCCAGCCATGTTATCCATGGTTAATGCCACTGATCTGGAGGTATCAGACCAGAAAATAGCAAGTGTATCCTCCTGCCAAGAGCTCGGGGGCCCATGAACGGATCTGTGCCTGTTCATCCCTGTGGGAATACTTACCAGTCTGCACTGATTTATAGGAAAGTGATTTTCAGGATTTCATATTTCTATGGACTTTAATTATCATGTCGTTCAGGGCCCTTAGAGGATCAGTAGCAAAACAATGGTACCAATCTAGCTTTCCAAAGTACATTTTTAAAAAAGAAAAGGCCTACATGTTCAAGTTTTACCGAATTTCATGTGTAAGTATAGGCACAGAATTAGGTTAGGCTTATTTTGTGTGAAATGTTGGGCATTCTGCTTATTTTCTTTAGTGTGACAGCCATTTCCTAATCTGGATTAATATGAGCACATGAATGTGTTTTTGGGTGTATCCATTTAGAATACATGGAGTGAGGCAGCAAGATGCAAATGTGAGTGGCTGGACCAGACAAACTCTGTATTCTGTCTGCAAAGTTCACTTTTGGCTTTATCGTCCTCAAAAACAGTTCAAAGTCATGCCTATAATATCCCTGCGTTGCCATGTACTCATGTCTACTCTGCACAGCATGCAAATAGTGACTAGCTCAGAGGGCAATAACGGTAAAATGTCAGCCAACGGGGAAAAGAATAGATCCGTAGTTTCTGGTCAGTACTGATACTGAAGGTATTATTATTACCCAAGAGCATTTTTTTTTTTTTTTTCCCCAAGCTACTGACCCTGGACATAGATGCTATTTGTTTTATTATCCTCTTGGATTTTTATGGGGTAAAGTCTTTAAGGATATAAAACTTCAGCCCATAAAAACTTTGGAGGAGAAAACTTTATACGATGAAATCCGTAAGGATTTCTCTGCTTAAGCCTTTATGCACTGGAGTCCATACCCATGGATGAATATCTGGCAACACGTCCAGGAAACAGGGATGTCTACAGAACATCATCTGTCATGCTGTACACCGTGCAGCTACTTAAGATATAGTCACACTGTGGAGAGGATTGCAAAGGCTCCAATGGACTTTCAGGAGAGTCCTTACAGAGAGTACAGGACAACTGTTCTTTTCCATTTGCATGTGTGTTGGTATCTTGGCATAGGAATGGTCCTTTCTGCAATGTCCTCTCAGATACATCAGGGATGATGTTGCCGTTCTGGCCTTGGAGTGGAAGGAGTGTCAGGCTCTTTCATGAGTATGGAGGTAGCTGGTAAACTGATAAAAATGATAAAGAAAGATGATTTTTTTTTTTTTTTTGTGTATCTTGCAAGTGAGCTTTGCAGCGATAGCTCATCACATGGTGCTACAATCCAGCCTTCAATTTCAGCAGTTAGAAGTAGTGAAGTCCTTGAGATGACCTTAAACTATAAGAAAGAGCTCCTCTAGCAATGTACAATAGCGTAAGGACTATGATTGACATGAGTCCACTGAGTTTGGTGGTTTACCTCAGCAGTGGACAAAATCTATTGCTTCAGCGAAGATCCAAGAACTCACTCAAGAAGAGGCTGCAGAGTAATCTGATGATAGGAAAGATTTCTTTTTGTAGTTACGGGACTGACTCATGCTCTGCTATGTCAGGAGGTTTATATCCCTGTTTTGGAAGTGTGGGGAATCAGAAAAAGTCTGCAGAGAAACCATCTGGAGACAGAGTGTCTCAAAGATTATTTATATTGTCAGCACTTCTATTAAAATACCAATTAATTCCCTCATGAAACACAAGCATTCACAAGGTTTGAGGGAGGTACATTGCTATCATGACAATTAAAAAGCCAAAAGACATTCCTAAACAACAAACTTTGTTTTGATCAAGTGTTTAAACATATATTTGACCCAACACCACACACTCCTCTTCTCTGAGCACCTTGGCTCTGCAATATCCTTGCATTCTACCATATCTAGCAATGTTACATTTCATGGACCTTTTAATAAAACTTAAACTTTAGTCTAAACAATCTTACACTGTCCCTTCAACACCCACTGAAATTCTTTTCAGAGCTCATAAAATGAATAGGAAGGTGCACAAGAAACAAAGCTTTCCCATGCCAACTTTTGATGGCAAATGATATAACTACTTCAATATTTTTATGAAGCTCTTGCCATTTTGGCTGCTTAGAGCAGCCATAGAAGAAGAAAAATGGCACTGTAGCAAAAAATTCTTCATAACAGTGACAGTAGCTTTCCCTGCTACAGTCTCTAACCTTAATCCTCTTTAACTACAGAAAGGTTTAATTTGGAAAATCCAATTATCTTGACATCTAGAATTAGCCAAAAATTTAGATATCTTTCTAGTGCCTTATCTTGCAGCTGCAGTGCACACTCAGCCACTGTCTCATTTACTGTACAGCAGGAATTGATGCTTTTATTGATGATTTTTATTAATGCAATGATATCAGTCAGGCTAAAGCCATTAGCCTCTTCTGTGAACTACTTCCACTCTTAGGCTGGTAGCTAGAATTATGGGTGCACTGTGGTGCAACCTATGTGCTTTTCTCTATATCTTTCCAACCATAAAGAAGTGTCTGGCATCCCTGCAACTAAGTCTGTTGCTGTTGTGATATGAATATCTTCTCACCAGCATGATCTTCTTACATCACTTTTATTTATTTCTTTTTTTTTCCTGAGGGAAAAATAAGTAGACAGAATGCCAGAGCATATCCTTTTCTCAATAAGTTTATGGTATGAATAAATCGTGTATTGTACAATAGATGAGAACTTTCTGCTTATCTGCCATGTAATGCCTCCCCATTAATGTAGGTCACATCAAATAACAGCTTGTTTAGGTTCTTAAGTTATTAACATTTTTAAGTCTCTGTGAGTTATTTTGTATGCAGTATATTTTGAAAGAGGATTTACAGAGTGCCACAGTGATAGATCTGTGTATTCTGCTGACTTCTGAAACACAGACGTTTTGCAGATGGGTTACTTTAGGCTTCAAGATCTGTTTGATACTCTAATATGGATCTCTTTATGTTTTGGGAGAAAAGAAAGCCATGCTTTATATCCTTCCAAAGAGATCACTATTCATTAAAGAATAGTGGAATACATGGAGTATGGAAAAGGCTAGAGGCTGCTCTTGAAATTCCCTGTCCGTGATGCCAGCAGGTGGGAAAGGACTGAGCACAAATGCGCAAATGCAATTCTAGTTCAGGAGAGCTCTTTGCCCACGAGCCCGTCCTCTGCTCTCACAAACTCCTGTGCATGGGGAGCACCGTGGGAGCTCTCCGCTGTTGTGTCCTTTGCTTCCAACTGAGGACCTTACCCTTTCGTCCCAGCACAGGGGTAAATGTGAAGGATTTCAGGGTTTCTTTGCTATGGTGGAGCAACTCTGAGACCGGTGAAACAGGGCGTACATTTGTTTCGCAAGGCTGAT